TGGCACTGATTTGAGGTTTGGGTCCCATTCCCAAACTCATGTAGTTCACACTGAGCTCATAGTGAACCACAGTGGTGTTTACATTGTGTCTGGAACCAGACATCCAGTTAAGCATTCAACACTCTTCTGCGTTGGCAGCGTGTGCTGCTGTGCTAAGGAAGTCCCCGGGTTTATCTTAGTCACAATTACCAAAGTTGTGACAGGTCATACTTGGCAATGAAAAAAATCCTTTGGGATATATCTCCAAATTTCTCTTTGCCTTGTTGCTGTTTGTCACATATCTATAAAGTCACTGAATGCCTTCTGCAGTGACCTTCTTGGAATTGCAGGCAGATGTGGTAACCAGTTTTATGTCTGTTAGTTCTGGTTGCTCAGTGTAGCCTCATGTAGAGCTTGGACATCACACATGTTCCTGTGGTGCAATACCAACACCTCTGTGTGCTCCTTGAGAAATAGGTTAGACTTCTTGTACTAAATGAATAGAAATGCATTCTGAAGTTATTACATGGGCATGAAAGAAACAATCTGCATAATTTTGCAATAATGACAGAACTTAAATATATTTAAATAGAATATGGCTTCCTTTATATATGTATGAAATGTGAATAGTGAAGTCTGGCAGTATGTTAAATAGGGTGTTGATTTAATCTCTTTTCTTTGTTCATTCCTGACTACCAATTAAATTGTGCTTATTAGAGGGACAAAAAGGGAAGGAGGGCTAGTAAGATACAGTTATTATAAATACATTCAACTTCAATAGGGCACAAACCCTCAGAAGAAAATAACATATTTGTCCAGCATTTTTTTCTTTTGTTCTCCTGATTGTTGTTTTCAATTTTATATGCAAAGTGTGTTGCAACTGTAATACTGCTTAGACTGATTGTTCTTTTTCTGGCAAGAAGACATTTTGTTTAGGAATCAAGTGGCAATCCTAAACTTAGTTTTCATTGGTTTTTGCTCATTCAATCCAAAGTTCTGTGCTTAAGAGAAAAGTACAGACTCATAAATCAGTATTTTCTTTTTTTAATTCAAGTAGTTTAATTCAGGCTGAGATGTTCCATCAATAGCCTGCAAGTGGGGCCAGGCAGGGCATTTAATGAGGTCTGATTGTGTTAGACAGAAGGTGGTTGAGATCAGGTTGCTCCTATTCATCTTCTGCCCAGTTTCCTTTTGTGTGGAAAGCAAATAGAGGGCAGGAGGCACACAGAACATCTGGGTGGTGGCAGCTCTTGGCCAAGCCAAGGGCACAGGCTGCCCATGTGAGGTGGTGGGGGCTGTGAACGGTGTTGGCTTTCAGGCCAGCCCTTCAGGAAGCCTCAGACCTGCAGTGTGTGAGTAGCAGGCCTGTCCATTGTCCCAGGAGAGAGGCTTCATGTGATTGCCCTTGCCACTGGAAAAAGATGGGTGATAATTGTTTTCATAGCTGTCACTGATTTTACTCAAATTTGTCTTCTGCAGTTCCTTAGTCTAGATTGCTGTGGGATTTTTGCACACTCATATGCTATCCTGTTAGTTGTGTGACTTTTTTATATAACTTGGAGGACACTTGTGGGGAGTCAAGGGGTAGTGTTAATCACTAAAAAAGGGCTGTGTCTGTCAGCCTGGTTGTCTGAAGAGCACAGCACTGGGGAGGGCAGGGCCAGTGCAAATGCCTTTTGTGTAGTGGGAGCCTGCTGAGATGAGAGGGCTTTGGGCATTCCCAAAGCTGCTTTGGCCTCTGCTGATCATAGCCCTAGGACACCTGTAAGTAACCACTGCAGCTCTGACCAAGAGTAACCAAAGAGCCCAGAAAGGACTGGCACTTCCTTTGTCACCTTCATTTACTGCCTGGTAGTCATTTTTCTTCCATGGCTGTCTCTCATTCCCACTGCTCTGCACCCTGTGATGTGGTATCACTGCTTTGTGGAAATGTTTGCTCACTCTGCTGCACTTTCTTGATAACTGCTTGAACCTAAAGAATGCTGAGTTGTGCTACCTCTTAGCAGCCTGCAGTGCTGAACCCTCATTACTGGAAGATACTTGTGCTATGCATAGTGTAATATGGATTTCTTAATATATGTATGTATGTACTTGTTCCCTCTGGAAAGACTTATTTATTTGTTCATTTATTACTTTGTTTTACTTAAGCATCCTTCCTTTTATAAGGGCTCTGCCTGATAATTTTCATACTGCACCTCTAATTCTGGTTGTCTTACTGACTTACGGGAGCCTACAACTGTCTCTTGTTTTAATTAATCTGACAAAAGGAAGGAATTATGTTAAGTATTCAACTTGTATAATATTTTTTATTTGATAATTTGTTTAAAAGTAATACATGGCATAGTTAAACAGCCATTTCATCTATCTTGGTTATGCAATAGTTCTTTTAAAAATTTGTAAATTGTGGTTGTAGTTGTTGTAGAATAGCAGAAAAGAAGACAGAATAGTTATCAAGTAAGGCAATGCTATAAAATGTCATTACTTTTAAACCTGTAGGTAATTTTCATAAGGCTTTTGGGGTGTACCATTATGAAAACTGTCATTTTAAAAGTAGTCACTTGAATGCATATTACTGCTTTAAAAAAAAAAAAAAACTGTCCTGATTATTTTCAGCTATATTTGTTGGATAATCCTGTTTCAAAAACCATGATTATTAATTGTAATATGGTAATGTTTCTACTTATTTTTAGGAGCATATGCAGGAAAAACCCAAAGAAAGAAGCCAAATGTTGTGATAATTTAAGAAGACAACATTCACTGGGATAAAATGGCTGTCTTTTAATGATGACTTTGTCAGCACTGATTTTTAATATTACATCTTCTTTACATAGATGTATATTTAGACATCATAAACCTACTTTGTCATTTTCAGATGACGCATAAACACAATCATATTGAAGCTGCTTTGAAGCTCTAATGCTTGTGGGAAAATTGCATGTTAGAACTTGTGTACAGACTAGTATTAATATATAAAAGATTCATAATCTTGTTTATTTAAGGACTAGCACGGGGCAACATGAAGGTAATTTGTGACTTTTCCACACTTCCTAATTCTAGTGTCTGACATATGCTTTTTGCATTACCTAAATTGCAGTTTTTGTGAGTGCCACCATAAGTAAGTCATGGGTATATATTTAGTTTCATACCATAAAGTTAAAGCAGCTCAATGTGAACGAAAACCCCAAACTTAATTTAAACAAAAGTAAGCTTTCAAGTCAGTGAATTTGTCGGAAACTGTTCTGAATGTACTTTTCTGTAGGAATGAGATCATCTCAATTGCAGTACTAAAGGCCTTGTACCAAATGTTCTGCATTTCTGCTGAGCTGGACAGATATGTTCAAATTCACTGCTGAGCTGATGGACATACTTACACTGATCAAACCAAAAATGTGCATTTATATGTGTGGTAGATCAAACCACTCTACTGAAAGAGCCCTGGGTTTTTATTGCCCTACTGTCTACTCCATTTTCTTATGGAAACAACATCTGTCCAACATGGAGATGTGTGTGTTCTACAAAAACTTCAGAAGGTAAGATTTTAACTGTTTTACCTTTTCAGACTGAAATAGTTATTTCAGTCTGTAATAGTAATTCACATATGTTACATTTAATTGTGACCGTGGCAGTTTTTCTGAGCAGTTTATCTTCTGCTGTGCAATCTAACAGGTCCTTGTACTGAAGTCATGATTTCTGCAGGTCAGGAATCCCTACCAAATCCCAACATCTTCATATTTATGGATATCTAAACATTAAAAGATCATGGTCATATTCTACCTTAGTCTTCCAACTGATGGATATTATCCATCAACTTGAGGAGAGCATAATTCTCCACCTTCTTTTAATGAACTTGAGACAAAGTGCTAGAGAGAAAAGCTCAGCTGTGTAATCTTTGCAGCAGAGAACTGACTGCCAGAATGTAAATTAGGTTATATTTTATTACTTTCCCAGTGTCAATATAATACAACACACTAGACTTTGGAGGCTTTGTAATATGTTGACATGAATGTAAGAGAACAGACAAACTGAAAATTTAATTGTGGTAAATAGCATGAAAGAGGAGCATTAATTATGTGATGAGGACAGTTATGTCATGGGCAGTGGTGAGTGGATTGGCTTGACTGTGGCACCAGCCTGTGGCTTTTATCTGCCACCAAGTCTGTCCTCTGCAGCTCGTGCTGCTGTTCAGAACAGGTGTGTTATACCAGGCACTAATACCCAAACTGCATGCTTGCGAAGTGGCAAAAGCGCTGCCCCAGCACCTTGAGGAATGGCCCTGCTCGGTTTGTTTGAAAGCCAGGGGCCAGCGGCTCCCCTGATGGTGTAAACAGAAGAGTTTACACCAGTGGAAGACCACCCTCCATTCAAATGCTGTGCTGCTTTAACATCGCGGCTGTAGGACGGAAAATGCCCGAGGCAAGTTTCCTGCTCACCCGGTGGGCAGCAAAGCTGTGTTTTGGTTCCCAGCTTTCCTCAGGAGTGGAAAACATCTCAAGAGGGGAAGAATTTACAGTGACAAGAGTAACCTGTGTCACCGATGACAGGAGGTGCTGTCGATACAGCACCACTAAAGATTGATGCTTTTAATGGATGTTTTATGTGCTGTATTTATTATTAGCATAGGCAATATGTTGATGCACAGATAGGTTTAGTGTGTTAGTAGAAATGAATGTTTCCCTTCTCTTAGGGTTTCACATCTAAACCTCTTGTTCTTCAAGCATGTTTCCAGTGTGTAATAAAGCATTATAGCACAAGGGTCTTTTTTTTTTTTTAAACTTTCATGAGGCCTTTCTCTTGGCAAGTGCCAGAATTTGGTTTTGTACTTGCTGTTTTGTATTTATACATATTTATCTTTTTATTTTGTGTGGAATTGTGATACCATTACAGAAGTCTATTTATTTTTGTACTTTGTTTCACTTTCACGAGTCTCGCTTTTTACTTACATTGGCATTGTGCACAATAAAGCCTGAACCTGGAAGGAGAAGCGTTTCCGTGCCGTTCCGCGCTCCGCCCGCCCTCAGGCGCCGAGCGGGCGGGGCTGCGCGGGAGGCGCGGTCACGTGAGCGGCAGCAAGATGGCCGCGTTCCCCTGGTGAGGCGGCGGGGCCCGCCCGTCCCGCGGGGCGGCGGGTGCTGCGGGCTGCGGCCACCGCGGCTGGGCCGGGGCAGGGCTGCCCTCATGCCCGGCCACCCTCGCGGCCGGGGGGCTAAGCTGGGGGCGGCCACGGGTGTGCTAGAGGGGAAAGTGCGGGGCCGCTCCGCCGCGGGGTCGGGCAGTTCGGCCTGGGGGTACGGGGAGCGGCGGGGGCAGTGCGCTGCCGTGCGGCCTCAGCCCGGCGCTGCTGCCGAGAGACCTGAGGGTGCAGAGCGCATTCCTGGGGCCCTGGCGGCGCAGCTGGGGCTGGGGCTCCACGGCTGCTGGCCTCCCGTTATTTCCCCGAAAAGAAGCAGGAGTTCCCCAGCGCCGCTGGTTTCGCCGGGCTGGTGTCACGGAGCGTGTCCCGCTCGGAGCGAAGGGCAGGGCGGGCGGGGCTCTGCGGGCCCGCTGACCCTCGCCGCTGGGCCGAAGGGCTTGTGTGGCTGCTCGCCGATACTACTAGCACACTGAGCCTCTGTTATCCTTCACAGGCTCTGTAGGACTAGGCAGGGGCTACAGACAGAGTCAGCTGCTAGCAACGCGCATTTACAGGAAGATGTGTACATCTGAGGAAGCTGCGCTGTGTAGGACATGGAATTAGTCTAGTATTTGGTTGGTAAAGGAAGGATAAAAGAGGCACTCTTTCTGTTATAGACAAAAGCAGTAGCAAAACAAAGCAGAGTAGCAGAGATGCTGAAAATTTTATTTTTACATAGTACAGCAATGAGGTAAGAACAGCCTAATAAATAGGTCTAGCAACACTGGTTGTAGAAGTGGCCGTGGGGAATTAAGCAGACCTTTTACAAGAGTAAGATGTTTCGATCATGCTGTTACCGAATATAGAATATATTTTCATCTTACGGGGCTTAGCAGAGCCCTAGCTATTTTTACTAGCTAAAAAGCTGTTTTGCAGATTTATTACCTGCACAGTCATCAGTCTGCATATGAGGAAAAAACAGCACCTGTTGGTGCTGAATAGTTGTATTAACATAATATTCATTAAGCAACTTCTATAAATTTCAACAAATCTGTTAAAGAAATAAAAAGTATATAAAATAATTTAAAGCACGAGGCTACAATCGAATTTTATAAGAGCTGTGCATAAATATTTAGATAAATTGTTTTTATGTCTAATACTCAGATAATGATAGGTACAGTCAGTATGCGATGTGCTTCATGGCCGTGTCATGGCCATTTACCAATACATGTCTGGTGTTGTAAAGGGTCTCTCTTCCATTTTATATACCTGTCTCCTTTGTGCTCCCTGTGAGCTTTTTGAAGCACTTGTTTTAGGATAAGCATTGGCTCTGGGAAGGTGCTGTCTGCCTGAAAGCTGTCCCAGGGAAAAGAATATTTTACCAGGAGGAGAGAAAAAGGAGTGGTGGCAATTGCAATGGTGCTCATGTGTGGGAAAGGTTGAAATCCACTGTTAAAAGAGCAGCTGAAGCAGGGGTGTAATCATGCAGGATGCACAGAGGATGAAACCCCAGCTTGATCAGAGTCTTATTTCCTCTCAGAAGTTTGCTGCACTGCTGTGGCCAAGAAAGGAATGCTTAATCTCCTTTCCCTGGAGAGTAAGCAGAACATAATGCCAGAACAAACTTGATCTTGTCTTCTGTATTAGCTCTGTTACAAGCTGTCTTATCACTTGAATAGCCACGTTGTAAAAAAAGTTCTTTTTGAATACTTTTTTGCAGGGTTTGCAGCTCTTGTTCACTCCCACATGTGTATTACCACCATGTGCACTTGCTCAGTGTGCTTACACTAATTAGATTGCAGTTGATTTTGGGCTGGAGATGCTGAGACAGCTGTCAGCAGTTAAAGAAATGTTACAATTGTGTAGCCAGAAAGAGTTTGATAGATTTTCCACCCAGGTGCTGATTAACCCATGGTGCAAATGAGCAAGAAGAGTCATTGAACAATGGGACAATAGCAAAAAGAAAAGGAACTAGCGATCAAGAAAACAAAACAAAAAAACCAAATAAGCATATGGATTTCACTGGACTCTTTCTCTTGTTCTGCTTTATCTCATTAGATGTCAAAAGTTTCTCCTTGGAGTGGCACAACCATAAATTGTCTAATCTGTAATTCATTATTAAGGAAACTTGGACGTGGTATCTGTGGAAGAGCTGGCTGCTTAGTGCTGCTAAAAATCTTCCAAATGAGTTATGCCTTCCAGTAGGAATGGAATTATTTGAAAGTTTAGATTAATTATTTTGGGAAAGATGTGTGTTATGTGGGGGAAGTGCTGTTTGCTTTTGTTAGTGGTCTGATTAAAGATTTTTTTTTTTTGTGTATCCCCTGATTTTCCTCATTCAGCTGAGGATGTACTATAAACATTCTCAGTATCTTGCATGAAACAGAAAAGAACAATTAGCAGCTCTGCATGTTCCAAAGACTGAAAAAGAGTACAACTAAATGGCTGAAAGTAAAATTTCTCCAGTTTTAGTTTTATGTTATCTCAGTAGAGAGAAATTTGGATCTTTATGTTTGCTTATTTTTCAGTATACTTTTTTTTTGTAAATAAGCATCTGTATAGATGTAGGAATGCTTCTCTCTTAGTATGTGGTTATTTATGTGCATTTATACTTTCTCTTCACTCTTACTTTTTAAGGCACGCAAGATCAAGGAACTATGTGTCAGAATCTGAAGTGTGCAAGCTGGAATCTGTACCCTTGGATTTTGGTGATTACCATCCACTGAAACCCATTACAGTGAGTTTGTTTGGCTTTTGGAAAAGGAATCTGAATTCAGACTGGTTGTGTTCCTCTTTTTACATCTGTTAGTTTAAAATGAAAAGGCTTTGAGGTTGGTGATGGTACTTGTGAAGTTGCTTTCTGTGTTGGTGGCCTGTTTTAGAGGCATCAAGGTTTATTCTGTTTGCCCTTTACAGGAGTTTGCTGGTGCTATTATGTGTCAGAAACAGTCTCCTGACAAATACAGCACCTCCAGCTTGTAGGTTTTCTTGGTTGCATTAAATGCTGAATAATGAGTAAATTTAAAATCAAATTGTTGCATTACAAATGACCTGCATAATTGCTTGATATAAGGTTTGGTTTTGGGTTAGCTTCCAGTCAGCTGTGTACTTTAAAACATTTATAATTTCTTTGATGTGTAAGAGGCTTTTAAAGATGTACTGAAAAAAATCCAGCTTCAAAGAGGTGAGTTATCCATCAATGAATGATAAATGGGCAGCAACTTCTGCTCAGGAAGGTCAGTAGGGAGAGAAGATGTTGGCCTGAGGTATGGATTTTATGTTCCAGGCTTGAGTGCCGTACAGGAAAAGTAAAGATGGAACTGGCAGAGGAAATTAAATAGCGAGAAAGAGTTTGGAGGACAGGGACAAACCTAATAAAATAGACAAGGGGTACTAGAAAGATATTCAGAGTGGTTGTTCTTACAATTTTGTAGACCTAAAATTGGGAGGAAAAAAAAAGTAGTGGAAATGCTACTGAAGAGTGAGTGCCTCCACATTCTGGGAAAAGCAGGGGAAGAAAAAGAATTAAAGAAAAGTGAGGGAAGAGAAAGTCTTTTTGTTTAATTGTTCTGAATGTTTCTTTAGGTTACTGAATCCAAGACGAAGAAGATGAACAGGAAGGGAAGTACTTCTTCTACCTCCTCCTCTTCCTCTAGTTCAATGATGGACCCTCTGAGCAGTGTGTTGGATGGCACTGATCCCTTGTCGTTGTTTGCAGCAGCTGCAGATCCTGTGACTTCTGCTCCTCCCACGGTAACTCTGAGGGCTGTTGTCTCAACTAAGTAAAAGGAAACCAAAACCAAATCAAAACCATAAAGCCAACCCTGGATAAAACTTATTGTCTCACCAGTGAAGAGGTTAATATAGGAAATATACCACATTAATAGAATATTCTTTTTTATTTTCCTACTTTCATCTGGTTTATGTTGACATATTTATTTAAATATGGATTTTTAAAAAACATTGTAACTTTTGAAAGGATCAGCTAGCACTTGAAACATTAAATTGACCTTTTTCAGTCTTCTCTTCTTTTTCTAGATCTGTATTTAACTTTTGCACTTGTACTCCTGTGACAGGATGGTGCACGAAGGAAACGGGATAAAGATGAGAGCTCAGCAGTAGGGAGTGACTTTGAGCCATGGTCAAGCAAACGTGGTGAAATCCTTGCTAGATACACAACAACAGAGAAGCTTTCTATTGTAAGTGGTGGCTGCCACAGTTGTTTTTATTTGTACTAGACCTTTAATGAATTTTGGATATTGCTATTTTTTAATTCTTTTGCGGGTAAATACTGGTACTCTAAATGTGAGTTTTAATATTGTAGAAAACTGAATCACAAGCTCTCACTTGTAAAGATTGTTTTAAAGCTGAGTCCAAGTCTTTTGATATTTAGAAGCCATCACTTTGACTTTTTGTAACAATGCAAATAACTTCTAGTCTTGCATCTACTTCTAAATGATTAGAGGGTTGATTAGCAGTGTAATTACCCTGTGCATTCCTGGAATGCTGCTGAGTACATGTTTTCTAACAATCTGCTTTTTCTGCTTCCTCACAGAATCTGTACATGGGATCTGAAAAAGGTGAGCACTTTCTTTACCAGTAACAGAGGTTGCTTGAGGCAGAGTGCAGTGGTCAAGAATAGCTGAAATGTGTTTTCCTGCCTCCCCCATTCTGACATCATGGTCCTTGCTTTTTTGTTGATAAGATGTCTGGATGTTTGTTTAAAATAGTTATTGAAAATAAGCCACCTGACCACCTTGTCTTTTATTCCTATGGGCCGATGAATTTGTGATTATTTCACTGCACTGCCTTCCACTGTAGCTTAAAACTTTTTTCCATTTAAATGAGCAATGATGTTTGGAGGATCATGTTTATCAACTCTTCTGCTAGCTGGAAGGAAAGCAAACAAGTCCTTTGGGAACTTATTCAATTACTCTGTTTACATTAAAGTGACGTGATTTCAACTGTATGCTGGGTGTTTAAAAAAGAACCAAATGTTAAATATTGTGTTTTCTAGCAAAGGGAATCTGGGCTAGGTAATCATAGCATAGTAAATCAGGATTTTTCTATATGAATAAGCATGCAGCATTTCAGCATCTGCAAAAATGGAAGACACTTTTTTGCAATGAGAATGGCCAGAGAGTGAAACTGGATGTGCAGGCAGAGTGTGACATCTGTATCCTTAGATATTGTTAAATTAACTGGATATAACCCTGTGCAACTGTTGTAACTTCAGAATTGGACTGCTTTGAGGAGGAGAGTTGGGCACAGACCTCCATAGAGCTTTTCTGTCCTTAATTATCCTGTGGTTCTATCTGATGATTCTTTTCTTACTGGTAAAACTTGCAGAAAAATCCACTCATATTCAATTCTGCTTACTTGCCATTGCCCCTGTTCAAAGTGAATGCACTGTAGATATGTTTAGATATGTGTCTTCAGGAGTAGTCACTAAAAGAGCCAAACCACTTGTCTTCTGTCACAGAAGTTACTGGTCCCTGTCAGGCTTCTTCAGGTTTGTTTTTCTTTAGAAGTCCCAGTGTTTAAATTTTAAAGAAACTTAAATCTGTATTTCTTTGCAGGAAAAGTCACCACTACTGGTTCAGCAGTTTCTGAAAAAGTGAGAACAAGGTTAGAAGAACTGGATGATCTGGAAGAGGTGAGAAAGTTTTCTGGTGAAATTACAGCATCATTATAATAGTGAAAGGAATTTTGAAATAAAAATCTTTGTGAAACCTTTTAAAAAGGTCCTTATTCTGCAAGTGCAGTATTTAGATAAATATGTGCTTTCTGTAGGAATTCTGTAGTGATTTTAATCCTTATTGTTACAGGATTTGGGAAGAATCATATTTTTGTATCACTAGAAATCGTGATTTGAAAATTTACCTGATCTGTTGGTGTTGATTTACCTTCTTACTGCTGTAAAACTTTGTGTAGCCCCATATTCTTAACATCTGATAATTCTGGTTGCCCCTGTTGCAGAAGCTGCATATGTCTACCTGAGTTTAATATAAGCTACAATTATGGGCTTGATAGAAATGCTGAGTACTGAAGTTATTTCTCAAGCTGTAGTATTCTACTGTGCAAGGCTGAATGTTTCATAACCTACTTTCCTAAGACCTGAAGGGAAGCTGTAATAAATTTTGTAGGATTGTCCTCCACAACATGGTGATTTGAGTCTATAATAACAGCACTCTCCTTCCTTCCCTTATGCTCTTACTTAGAGGGTTTGTGTTTTCTTGCCAGGGATCACAGAAAGAGCTGTTGAATTTGACTCAGCAGGATTACATGAACCGAATTGAAGAACTGAACCAGTCTTTAAAGGATGCATGGTCCTCTGATCAGAAAGTAAAAGCTCTGAAAATAGTCATCCAGGTCAGTTTTATGTTTTTGTTCTATGCAGAACCAGTGAGTTTGGTGATATAACTTGTCTAGTTTCCTTCTTCGGAAAAGAAGACTTTATACTGTTTTTCTATTATTTTCTTTTGTTCATCTCTGAAACACATTTGTTCTAGAGTTTTATGACTTCTGACAGTAGTTGGATTTTCAGCTTTTTTGTTACATATTGGTTTTGACTAGGTTATGTGGGATGGAAGTCTCAGTGAGTCCCCAAATGACAAATGTGGAAATTTTACCTGCTTAAGGGTAGTTAGAACAAATACCATGTAGTGATAATCCGCTCTTTGTAAGATGTGTAGTCTCCTTTCCTGTCCTCTTCCCCTTCAGCCCCTTGCTCCCTACAAATAATACCAGAATGGCTTTTTGAACATCAGCATTTTACCCATCCAAACTTAGTAGGGCAATTAAATAAAGGGATTTAGGACCATAGCAAGCTACCAAAAACAGCTCCAGATTTTTAAAATTGTGTGTATGGGGTTTGTTTGTTTGAGAAATTGTCCATAGTCTTCCTTTGGGTCATTTGGGGTGATGTGCTTTGAGGAGGGCATGGGGAAATAGGACAGTTAAATGCTCTTTTGTTTGGCTTGGCCTTTAAAAAAGGCCAGAGGCAGAGTACAGCAGAGGACAGATGAGATAATGACATCCTTAAAATCTGTAAAACTGATGTAATGCTTATAGTCATCCAGTGGGGTTATATAAAGTCATGTTTTTTTTGGTAATTCTGGATACTCTTGTGAAAACTGCTTGAAGTAATTTCATCCTAAATTGTGGTAAAGACAAAAAAGGAAATGAAACATTAATGAAGTGAGATCAAACAATTATATGTGACCTAGGGTGACTAATGTACTATTGTAATACTATGAAATCAGCACTATTATTGTTATTTTAAAAAAAATCCATATATAGGATTGTGAAGTGTGAATGTGGTCTTTGGATGAGAAGAAGAGCAGCAGGGATGTACTGTACTTACAGTGCTTTGTGTGAAATGTATATCTGTGTGTGTGATAATGCAATGATAATCCAAGCACTAATACTTTCATATGTTCTTTTGCAACTGGTTCACAAACAATTTTGAAATAATACGGTTTCTAACATGGTATCCAGTGCTTCCTTTTAGGAAGGTGGTACCAAAGCTGAATGTGTTTATCTCTTCTCAAGTGTTGTGCACTTAGCACATACTGCTGCAGATGGTCATCACTAATTGAAAGACTGCCCAAGAATGAAATAGGTACTTGTGCAATTAATGAATAAAAAATTTTCATGAAGGATAAAAATTCTGTAGTTATAAAGCAGGATAGGGTAGAACCCTCACTGAACTTTACTTGTTGTGCTTTGTCCTGCAGAGTGCTGTATCCTCTGAAAGAGCTGAGCAGTTCTCTTGGCATCAGGCTGCAGTTTTATACATAGTCTGCCATTATTATTACAGACTGGTTAGTATGCAGTAGGAGGAGTGAGTTTGGCTTCAGGTTAGGAAAATTTCTTCACCAAAAGGGTTCTCAATCACTGGACCAGTCTGCCCAGGGCAGTGGTAGCATCACCATCCTTGGAGGTATTTAAAGGGTGTCCAGATGTGGCACTTGGGGATATTTTTTATATTGGTGATCTTGGCAGTGATGGTTTAAAGGTTGGACTCAACAGTCTTGAAGGTCTTTTCCAACCTAAGCAATGCTATGATTCTGTGATTCCTCAAGTGCCTTTTTGCAAGATAGTTTACTTGTCAAGATGGAGTATGCTAAGCTACTTAGAGTAAGCTGGACTAAGTTGATTATGTGTGTGAGCTCTAAGAAAAGTGGTAATTTAGTGTTTGTGCTATGTGTAGGTCCTAAACAGCTACTGAGTTACCTTTCTTTAAAGGTGACTGACTTACCACACAGCAGGGAAGATTCTGCTTTGGTTGTAGGATGTGAATGCTCTCACCTGTCTTTCTGGTGCACTCTTCAAATTACCCTGACGAATAAATGAAAAAGACTATGTGTGCCCCTTGTTTAAGCATGTTCAAATGATGTGATTTCCTTCTTTAAACAGAGCAGTCTTGTGAGGTATTGGATTGCTTCCTGGATTTTTGAAATGTAACAAAAGTTTAAACTTTATTTATTCCACTGAGATTGAAGAACTCTCTGCCGGTGAAGGAGAGAGAGAGGATGGAGCTCATAGAAAATATTGTCAGTCTTAGAGACCAGAGAAGAGTCAGGGCCAGAGGCCACATTCGGCTTAAGCAAGGAAGACTGGATTTCTCCCCAGTCAGTCACTCACCTATTTTCTTCTGGTAGAAGCTGGTCTTTTCTTGTGAGTAACCTTCTGCCAAAGTTTTTGACTCCAGTTTAATCTTGGAAAACAAAGTATAGCTTAATAAGCATCTTAGAAATATCCTCATTGCTCAGTGTGTATTTTGAATTCATACAATCAATGGACACATTCCTTCCTGGCCTGAGCACCCCATGAGAGTAGAACTAAGTGGGTAATACATTTTCAAATGTGACTTTGTTCCAGCCATCATTGCAGTCCAAATGCCGTGATCAGGTGTGTCCCAGTGGATGGTGATGGATTACAGAGTCCTCCTGAAGCTGACTGTGGCTCAGTCTGTTTCCAGAATGTTTGAACTAGTTATGTGAGCTGCAAAAATGCATTGGAAAGCTCATTAACTACACTTCTAAAATTGTTTCTTAATGTAATCTATATTACATTTTGTGCTTCATATGGATGCTTAGATGGTGAAAAACGAAACAGTGTCCTTAAAAAAAGTGATTTTAGAGAAGAAGTGCCTTTCAATGCTTTGTCTGGGAGAGAATTTGTCTTATCTGAACAAACGCACAGATCTTCATGGTCAGCTGAAACTCTGCATTGTGGATTACCCTGTATAAAGGAAAACCAGGTCTGTGTAGCTCTGAAAATGAAGAATAACCCGACAATTACAACAAGAACTGTGGTCTGTTATGTTAGATGTCCTTGTGCCTTTGGCTTCATAATTCATATGGGCCCTTTCCACCTGTGGATAATCATCCATTCTAGCTTTTCTGGAGTAAAAACATAAACTTGTGTTTGCCTCTAAAAATGTTTCTTTGTTTTTTTCTCCTTCTAGTGTTCTAAGCTTCTTTCAGACACAACAGTAATCCAGTTTTATCCCAGTAAATTTGTTTTAATTACAGATATCCTTGATACTTTTGGTAAGTATCTACCTTGCCAGTCTTACTACACAATTGTTAATAAGATTATTTTTTGTAATATTAGAAAGCATCAAAGTTGCCCAAAAAGAGCTAAAATGACTTTTACTTTTACCGTGGAATATTTCCAACATAAACATTTGGACACAGTGATAAACATGGTATATAATTGTAAAAAATCTCCTAAGAGACAAAAGTTCTTAAGATGAAAACATTTCACTTTGTGATTCTATGCTTTATGTATTAATAAATATCTAGAACAAAATGTTAGGAAAAATCACGATCTCTGCATTTTGAAATGAAAAACACGCTGTCTTTATAAAAATATTTTGGATTTTAGCAGTCTTTTGACTCAATATTTCATTAGTTTTGTATTTTGAGGAAGTCAGAAAGTTTTCTTTGGCTGAATAGGGACTATGAAATTATAAGAATGTATTTATTGATTTTTTAAATATGTTTTTAAACTTGTGAGTGAAGTTGTCATCCACTTCATGTGATTCTCTTATTTTTCTGCCATGTTATGGAAAATATTTACAATGGTATTGAAAGTTGAAGAGTATTTTGGTGGCAGCAGGATATGCTACGACAGAGATCCAATTGTTCTTTTGGGTCGTGCTTCCTCTTTGTGCTCCTTCCTACTTGCTGAAGGCTGCTAGAGATAACATAATATCCAAACTCAGCAAAGTTAGGACAACAGCTGTCCTTTCCTGGCTTGGGAGAAATCTGACCTGTGTGTTACCCCTGCACTTAAGGGATTCATAGGATGTTTTTATAGTGTGAGAAGTGCTAAATCACACTGAACATTTCATCCGCACTAGAGGGCAGCAAAATATCAGTATTCTGGGAGGTTTTTTCCCTCTAATTTCATTGTATGGTGGAAAGGGAACCTTTGTGCCATCATTTTGTGTTTTATAGTTTGTTAATTTGTTTTGATTTTTTAAATTATTCTTTTTTTTTTTTTTTTTTTTTTAACCAGGGAAGTTGGTGTATGAAAGAATTCTGTCAATGTGTGTGGATAACCGAGTCTCTCTGCCAGGTAACTTTGTTTGTTTCCACTGTGCTCCAGAAAAAAATCATGTCCAACCTTGAGGAAGGTTAAATAAAGGACCATTGCTATTCTGTCTCAGAAAAGGTTCTGATTTGAATCTAGCAGCTTTTAGTTTTTAACAGAGTAAAATCCATCACTTGCAGCTTCCACTGTTCACAGTGTTCATGCAAAATTACATTTTAATTGTGGATATAGTAAAGTATGCTTGTGGCTCTGCTGGTACTAAATGTAAACTTAGTCTTCCTGAGACTTGAAATCACAAGGAATTACGTAAGTTCTCTAATACAGAATTTATTAGGCAGAGGAAGAATTAAACAGGAATGGCCAAATTAGACGAAGGAAGATTTTTTTTTCCTTTTTTGTCTTATATGCTCTCTTCTGAAAGTACTACAGTTTAGAAGCTTAAAGTTAATGGTAGAAATGTAACAAAGCTGAGAATCTCAGTTTTTAGTAAATAGATGTTTTTGCTGCTACACTGGAAGCTTGGTAGTTTTGCTGTAATAAAAGAAAAATTTTGGAAGTAGGAGCAGGCTGCTTCTAGCATAATCTTTTTAACTTGGGCCCTTTTTCTTTTTTCACTTGAAGTTCCAGCACAGTGTAAAAATCTAATTTGACATTGCAGGTGAAAGAACCTCTTTTGCAAGACATTGAAAGATTGTGTGGAAAGGCATTTCCTTGCAATTTGAAGTGCACTATATGCACATCCTTGCAAGATGAAACATTCTGTAGGTGGCAGTGGAACAGTGCCATTAGTTTGCAGTTAAATCCATAGGATTGGAGCTGTAAACTTGAAACCAACAAATACTGAAATTTGAAATGAACCTAGAGAAAATAGTTCAGATAAATGTGGTTGTTGCAGATCTGACAAACTGCTCTTACAAACATTAATGAAGGCAGGCAGTTCCCATAGCAGGTCACGATTTCTGGGCACAGTTACCTCTATTCTCAGCTGAGCTCCTGCTGCAGCTGTACAGCTGCCAGAGGCATTGCTGGTGGGAACTTCCCAAACAGCTCTAAAAGTGAGGGGAGAAGGAAAATCTGTGTTGTGCTGACTGTGCATGTGAACCTTTGGGGATTTCAGGCCCAGCCTCTGAGCTTGTCCCTTGGGAACCAAGTGAAACCAAGTTTAATGAAATCTGAGGTCCCAGATGAGAAGGATAGTGAATGCAGGGAGTTCTAACATGTGGCTTCTCTCTTGTTGGAAATTGGAAACTTTTGTGTGGAGCCTTTCACTTTCTGGAGGCAGGAGTGGTGTTTTAAATGGTTTCAGAAGGAGTTCGTAAGAGGATGTGTTCAGGGTACAGAAACAATATTCAGTATTTCCTATTTCTTGTAATAGTATTATTTAAAATTTATATTAGCATTTAAAAATAAAAAAAATTGAGTGCTTAAATATCTTTTGTATGTTCTCTAGTCATTATAGATTTGTATATATGTATTTGTTATAGATACAATTTCTGATTTTGGAAGAGCAGAGGAGAGGTTGGATTTCTCAGTAGCAGCTCTGAGATGAGCTCCAAGATGAGCTTGAATTCAGGTTCTGAAATATTATTTACTACAAGATTGTACTTTTTCTTGTAATATACTCAGCTCTGACTGCTTCTCAAGAGAGCTGAGAAGCAAATGTATTGCCTAGTTTATTATTGTGCACTTAATTTCTTGACAGATGGAAAGAGAATACAGTTTTTAACCTAACATGAAAAGTAACTTGTTTTCAGAAATAATGTAACTGTTTCTGGGTTGTTTTTTTCCCAGATAACTTTTCTCCAGAGAGCGTTAACGATACAGCTAAAGAAACCTGCTTAAACTGGTTTTTCAAGATTGCTTCAATCAGAGAACTTATTCCCAGATTGTATCCTTGTCAAATGAGACCCTCACAGTGTGTCTGCAGGCTTTTTGTAGATTTTTCCAGAAGTGAACATTTGTTTCAATAAAACTCACAGGATCTAATGTTTATACTGGCTTTGTTTTGTTTTTTTCAGGCTGTAGGTTTTGAATGTACTTTTGAGTCATGTCTCATAGTGAATTGAATGCTTAATTATTGGTTCTGAGCAGTTTGTCAGTGACAGAGATGATGAAAAATTTTGAAACAAAATCTTGTCGATAAATTGTAAAAATCAGCAAAGTGTAGTGACATTAAATACAGAAGGCCTTAAAATAGTTTGGTCAACATGCATTTGGTGTATGTTTGCTTATAGTTTTTCAGTGGTGTGAATTTTTAGTTTTGTTCCTTGACTTGGCTTCAATTTAGTTACGTGGAAGCAGCAATACTGAAGTGCAACAAGTTCCTATCCAAAACGTAAGAATAATGTTAAGTATGGGATGGAATGGGCAGACTTAGGAACTAATTAAATTAATTAAGCACTAGAGATCTGTGATTAATGGTGGGTAGGGTCTTAGAAGAACTGAGAAGCACTACAGAGAAGTGTTGGAATTTTTAATGAAAAAATTAAAGGTGAACTGTGATATACTTTGAAATACAGCAGTGCTCTCAGTTTTCAAAGGTATGTACAAATGCGACATCAGGTGTCACAAATCCCAGTGCAAATTGAAAACCAGAGGCTTCTGGAGGTGGAGGGGAAGGAAGATTGTTGACATGAGGAGTGTAGGAAAAAGACACTGAAAGAAAAATACTGATATCATACTGGGAGAGATAGAGTAGGAGAAATAATTTAGGAGAAATGAGCCACTATCTGTTGAAAACTTTGGTATAAGTTTAATGTGTTGCCAAACAGTGCCAACTGCTGAGCAGAAAATGTTCCTTCCCTTGTAATTGTCCTTCTTCAGTTATATTTTGAAATGAGTGTTGGAAGCCAAATTGCTCCTATAGTGACAACTTTATTATCCCTAAAAAGCAGTTCTTTTACTGGAGTTAGTGGGCCTCATATCCAGGCACTAGTACAGCTCTGCCTGTTCTAGTTCTGCTTTGAGCATCTCCTTTCCTTGCACTTAGTTACAGCTTTTCCACAGCTGTGCTCTTCTCCAAGGAGAAGGAGTTCTTTAGTTTTGTCTTGCTCTGAATAGCAAATACTGCATTTTGAATATAGGATATGTATTATTGTACACAGAAAATTTTACTTATTTCATAAGTTTTTGTGCTAGTATTCTTCTTCTTTGATAGATATTTCTATAACTCATGCTCAGTTGTTAGTCTACAAGGCAGCTACTGGAGTCATCTGTAGGTGATATATTTCTGTTATTGACTGTTGAAGCTCATTTTCATTTCTGATAAAAACAGGGGCATTTCGGAATGTCTCCCACGGTTAACAGCTATGATTAGAGGAATTGGAGATCCACTGGTTGCAGTCTATGCCAGAGCATACCTTTGCAGGGTAGGCTGTCATTTACCTCCTCTGATCTGTACCAAAGATTTACTGCAGCCCATGCTGCCACTGCTTCAAGGAGCTACTGCTTTTATCTCAAGTAGTCAGCAGCCTGTCTTTTCCTTTCAACAAACAAAAAATTATTTCTCTTTGTTTTACAGATGGGGAATCTCTCTTTAAGTGTTTGTTATAAGTAAGAATAATTTTCTGGGCTGCTGTAGGCTGTTGCAGTGCACTGGAGTAGCTGCTGATTTCCTCAGTGCTTACAGATACTTGGAGCTGATGTTAGGATTTTGTTTAAGAACAGCTGTAACTGCCTCAGGGGTTGTTAGTGGACATGACTGTAATAGTAAGCAAGGAAATAATCAGTCAAAAGCATGTGATTCAATGCTGTTTGTTGATTTGATGTATGTGACTTGGGTGTATTCCTTCAGCAAATGCATCTTTATCTCACTCTGAAGGAGAATTGATAGATGCTGATAAAGTCTTTTTCTTTTAATACAGGTTGGGATGGAAGTGGCACCACAACTCAAAGAAAGCCTGAATAAAAACTTTTTTGACTTTCTCCTAACATTTAAACAAGTAAGTAAATAAGTGGTTTATTTGCAAAATCAGATAAATAACACTCCTTAATCAAACTGCCACATACTTAAAAAAAAAATCTTAGAAGTTCTCAAATCTAGATTTAGGGGTGTTCCTGTATCCAGATATAGTATGAGAAATTTTACATACATTCTGGTAAGTGGAAACTGCTCAATTCAGCATGTTTCCAGACTTGAATAACAGATTTTAGGAGCTTAATATTTTTTCCCCTAGCTTGCAAGGAATGCTTCAGAATATCTCTTATCTTTGTGCTATCATCTATTTAATTTCCATTCATATACAAACTTTAACCAGTTTATCATATCTCCCATTAAATACATTTACAAAGCAACATATTTTTGTCTCTTATTTCAACAGATACATGGGGATACAGTTCAGAACCAGCTGGTGGTGCAATGTGTGGAGATCCCTTTGTATTTGACCCTATATTCTCCTGCTATAGACTGGATTTTACAGTGTATTGCATACCATGCTCCAGATGTAAGTGAATGTGGTAATGCTCAATACTAAACTTGTGAAACAACCCTTCAGTCAGTTTTTACATAAGTGTGAAGGCAAGTAAAAAGAGTCTATATAGGACTGTCTGATGCTGTCTTCTGTACAGGAAGAATGTTTGTTTTCACAAGTGTGACTACGTCAAGTTCAGAGGCAGTATTCCTGATTGTTTCTTGCTGTCCTGTAGCTAGTTCAATCTTTATTTCCTGAATTCATCCATTTCTTTTGTCCCACGGATATACAAATGATTTGACTAAACTGTAACTTAACATAGTGAACAAGCTGTTTTATTCTCTGTCAGTCTGGCAGAGTTTTCACCTCTCCTCCCAGAGATAACTGGCAAATAGTGATTACCTGGAGTAATGGCATGGATGAAGGATTGCAGATTTGACTTCCATAAAACGGTGGTTTTGATTGAAATGCCACTATACCTCTTTCAGAAGATGTGTTTTCTGTTTAGCTACACCATTGTTTTCTTGTGCTGTAAATTCAGGGTAAAACAGGACTATTGGAATGTATTGGAGAAGTAATTAAAACAGCTTTTAGTAGATTTCAATACAGTAAATAAAGCTGAATATGTTTGCAAAGTCTCTATTCACTAATTTTAATAAATAATTGTTCCAGGTTCTGCTTACTGAGATGATGGAGAGATGCAAAAAGTTGGGGAACAAGTAAGTGTTGCAGAGTGTAGAAGACAGGAGTCTGTAATGAGTACCCCTGAGTTCCTGAAATAATGTTCTCTCTTCCTCTTTTGGAAACTGTTTGGATGCATAGTGCAGCTTTCATTCTCCCGGTAGCTTACTAAATCATAATTATGAAAATCTGTTTTCCAGAGATGAATTCTAAAATATGGTAGATTACTTGTCAAGACGAAGTTAATTAGTTTAACTTGGTTGCTGCATTCTGGCTCCTAAGCCAAAGTTTAGGACATCTAATGTCTTCTCCCTTAGCCATGTCTCTGATGCCCGATTTTGCTTCATTTTTCTGAGTTTTCCTCCCCTTCTTTCCCCCTGTCTTCCACTGGCTACAATCAGGCCATACATGCATTCAGCAAGGGAAGTTGTAAAGCTGCTGTCAACCTTTGGAAGGTAGTAATACCTAGGGATTTGCTTTTTTTCCTTATTATCTTTCTTTTTTTAAATTTATGAGAGATGCTGGATTGTTGTTAGTCTAGGAAGTTCAGATTAGTGTAAATGCAAACTACTAAATTTGAGTTGAGCTGCATTGATCTGTGTTGTTCATTGCAGTGCTTTGCTGTTGAATTCAGTCATGTCAGCGTTCAGAGCAGAGTTTATTGCTGCAAGATCAATGGACTTCATTGGCATGATTAAAGAGTGTGATGAGTCTGGATTCCCAAAGGTAACATTTTGTATCTCATTTGTACCAATTCCTTTCCTTTGACAGAGGTCTTTATGCTCTTAGTTGCCTACATAACTTGTGTGTCACTTGAATAAAATGATTCAAGTGGTTTGATCTGAGAATCTTTCTGCACACTGCACCTGCCAGACCAGTTTTGGATGGACGTGGATTGTCTGCTTTTAATTAAAAATTTCACATTAACTTTCAGCATCTCCTCTTTCGCTCCCTGGGATTAAACTTGGCATTGGCTGATCCTCCTGAAAATGATCGCCTTCAGATATTAAATGAAGCCTGGAAGGTTATAACAAAGCTGAAGAATCCACAGGTGAGTTACTGTCCATTCTGTTTCACTACTGATTCTGTGTTTAGAGCAAAGTTGTAGCCAGTTGTTCAGGCATGACATTGTTTGCTTTTTCTAAATACACACAGTTGCAAAAAAATTAGTGATGGCTGTAATATCTTTGGATCATCCCTGCTTTTCTTAGCTCTGCTGAAGCATAACTTAATTTTACATAGCATTACTACACAAATGCACCTTTGGGGTTCTAGATTTGTAAGTCTGCATGAATCATACCTCAGTAGTTAATTCTTTTAAGTGTAATTTTTACAAGTGTATTTCTCACAGTCTCCTGCAAATATTGGTAATCACAAGACACATGTATTTCTAGGATTATATCAACTGTGCTGAAGTGTGGGTGGAGTATACCTGCAGACATTTTACGGTAGGTGAAAATTACTTTGTTTCCTTTGAATTTTTCTGATTCAGACTAAGTGGCTGTGTCAGCAGTCTGGTATTAAAGATGGAAAGGCTTTGACTATTCAGTATAAATGTGTAGGAATGAAAAAATATGTTTCCTTTCATGAAAGATGAATGGGGACAAAAGATGCAGCTTTGAAGCTTTACCACCCCACAGAACTGAACATTTCTTATCCTTTCGTTTTAATGGCAGATGGATCAGTTTAAGTAAGGAGCTATGGTTAAAGTTCCTGGCTTAACTAGAGCTCTGTAAAAAGCTGATGCTTTGGCAAATGGAAAAAAATTATCCTACTCAGCTGGTATTTAGTGACTTGATTTATGTACCAATTTCATTTTGTAACCTTTTTTTTTTGCTACACAGAAGCGAGAGGTCAATACGGTTCTGGCTGATGTCATCAAGCATATGACTCCTGATCGAGCATTTGAAGATGCTTACCCCCAGGTAAAGAGTTTATTTTGCCAAATCTGTAAAAATCTGGTGTGCATTTTCTTAAATTGAATAAATTCTTAAACATTACTGATAACTTTTATAACAAAATAATTATTTTTAAACACTAACTACAAATTGGGAGGCCTCTTGGAACACTGTAATGCTGTAATTTATTCCTCGTTTTTTCCATGCACATCAATCTTTTACTTCTGAGAAATGCTAAACTTGAATGATTTATGTATTTAGAAAGTAGCAATAGTTAACTCTTACATCAGCAGTCGTGTTTGCTGAATGAAAGTAGCAGTCATGATAGGTTGTTTAAACAGAAGCAAACCATAAAATAGTCTATCTTTACTAGGCATTGTTAAGGCTTCACTGAATTATTGTGTCCAGTTCTTGAGATTGAATGCCAAATGAGATGTGGATTAGTTGAGAAGGTTTTTGTAGTTACTTTGTGGCTAGAAAAAGTGCCTGCAACAGAAGATTTAACAAACTGGTTTGGGGTGTTTTTTCTTTGTTTATTTGGCTGAGATTTTAGTGCAGAGAGCTGGAGGACATGGAGACTCTAAAAAAATGTGCCTAACTATGGAAGTGAAGGGCCAATAAAGCCTGGGCAGGCTGGTCAGCCTCTGTTCAGTATGGGTTCTGAAGGGTATGTAGGAAAAGTGTGTAGGAACAGCATAGCTATAGTTTGTCCCATGTGGGAAAAGAAATAATGTTGATTAATGCTTGAAGCATCTTTCAAAATAGTCTTCTATGACTAATTAAAGAAGAATAATCTGTGGTGTGGATAGTCTTAATTTAACTCATATTACAATAATTTTCCCCTTTTTTAAACTTTTCCCTTTTCTCCCCTTTAGCTGCAGTCAATTATTCAGAAAGTTATTACCTATATCTATGACTTTGCTCTGCTTTTTTCAGTGGTAAGTGATACTCTCGTTAAAAAATTTTTAAGAAGAACTGTTTGGCAGTTTTTCTGTAAGAGAATTTACCTTGACTGGGATATTTAGATAGTTTACAAGTTTGCAGAATGCAAGGACTTTTTGTCAAGTATCTAAGTGCAGAAATATTTTGTGAGCTTTCTGCTGCTTACCACTTAAGTACTTATTATTCCATTTCCAGTTTTTTATATTTTTTCATTAGGCTGTTAAATTCTCCGGGTTTATTTGTTACCATGACATAAGTGACAATGAATGGAAGATGAAATACCATTTATTTGTGTATGTGTATTTTAATGTAATTAACACTGTTTCTGTGCTATGATGTATACTTATCATAGCACTTCTCATAGAAGTTATACTTGGCATTGAACCAAAGTGGAACTCAGGGAGGACAGAGGCTGTATATGAGGTAGAAAAATAGAAACAGAGACAGCAAGTGTGTCTCAGTACAGAAACCATTTGAAGAGTGAAACTCAAGACTGATGCTGTGGATTTGGGGTCGAGTCTTGTTCATAAATTGCTTGGATAATTCTGAAAAACTTACCCTCACTATATTCTTGAGATGATACAGAAATGAAGTATTTTATTACGGTAAACAACCTAGACCCTGTTTTTTGAAGGAAATTTGTATGTCTTAGACCTTCTTAACTTGCTCTGGAGAGATGTGACATTGTTGATGATGTGTAGACTATTTTAATTGTTTATAATATCTTACCTTTTTTTCCCATAGATGTATGAATTTGTGATGAGCCTAAACTGTTTGAAGCATATGATTGCTTTTAGAAATAAAGTGCAACATTCAAGTCAAACAATTCTGTATTTTGTATTCCCTTCTGGATCTCTGCAATCAATAAATTGATACATCTTTCAGCCATCAGTCCTTTCTCATTAGTTCCACTTTTTCATCCTTTGAAATTAATTACTGTTTTCAAAACAGATGAAAATAGTTTTACCTAAATATCTGTGCTTATGAAACTTACCCAAAATAAGTGTGTTGCTTGTAACATACCCAATTTTACTTGTTTATATATTTGTACTTTCAGGAGAAATTCCTGCCATTTCTGGATATGTTCCAGAAGGAAAGTGTGAGAGTGGAGGTTTGCAAGTGCATTATGGAATCTTTTATTAAGTAAGTGGAGACCGTTGAAGTGAAATGAGCTTTAGAGGCTCTGAGAAACTTACTGAAACATGTCTAGGGAAGAGGAGTCGGTATACTGGCTATTTGATTTAAGAAGGTCTTCCAGGTTATGGGGAAGAAAAAAGAAAATGTGTCCGTTTTGTTAATCTATTGATGGACTGTCTGACTGTTCACAAAGAAAGTTGAGGTAATTGTATTGATACTGACTTGCTGTGGGTTAACAGAATAGTTGTTCTCTGAGCTTGTTTTTTTTGTGTTGCCTTAGTTGGTTTATGAAATTTATTTCACATTCCACTTGCTGTGACAGCACAGAATAGTGCTACAGCTGAAAATGAACTTAGAAAATGAAAATACTTTCAACTGTTCTAAAAATCAAGCAGTCCTTTTCTTTTCAAATAATTAACAAGTTTTGTGAAACATTTTTCTCCTTCCATTTCCACCTTCCCTTCAGGTATTTATGTTCATTGCTGAGCCCCCCCAAACCTTCTTTCCCCTAGGGCACACGGGGCCAGCTCTCTTGACTTTACTGCCAAGATATGAGAGATGCTGTGGCCCCTTAATCATCTTAGTGGAGTTGTACTGCACATGTGCCTCTGTACCTAAACCTGACACTGATCCTTCCTGCCTGTCCCTGAGTAGCTGAGAAATTAAAATATATCTTGGTAAATGCAGGATTGTTTTATTTTGATGTTCTTAGATTGCCTCAATGTATCACATGTCCACCTTACTGTGTCCCTTAAGGAGTCAGAGTCTGTGGCTTGGCAATGCAAATGTGTATATTAAGATAATATTCCTTGGCTTGTATTTATTGGAATTCTACCCATATTTACCATGTATTCATTGGGTCACAAATGGATTTAAAACTTGTGCAGTGTCATATGGTGCTGGTGACTGTATGATGCATTAAATGGGTGTTATTCTAGTCATTGTTCTCCATTTTGACAGAGCAGGATTTTTAATCACTTTTTCTCAAACGCTTTCTAGGCATCAGCAGGAGTCGACGAAGGATCCTGTTATCCTCAATGCTCTCCTGCACATCTGCAAGACGATGCACGATTCTGTGAAGTAAGAGGCACTTCTACTGAGAGCTCTCATTCGTGCAGAGTTGGGCTGCCTGATGTGCTTTCGTGTTTCTGGGGCTGTTTGTTTCAAGGTGGATTAAGACGTGAATCCAATTAGTGCTGAGGGAAGAGCTGTGCAGGGAAGTGGCAGCATGTACCATTTGCTCTTTAATTACTGCTGTATTTTGAATACTGAAGCATAATTTTAAAAAGGAAGTAGCAGCGGTTTTGTAGTTTTCTAGAAGCAGAGACACTTTACAATCCAATCTTCAAAACACTTTGAGAGTGAAACCAATATAATCTTTGAGTTACAGTGAATAATAAGCTATTTCTGAGATTCAAGTGAATATGTAGCTACTAAAGCACAGATTGCCTTATTCAATTATACTTTTTTGTGGCTCAGTGTTTTCAGTCATTATAAAGGTATGAAATCTTTACAAAGATACCTGGAAGATCTCTAGGAGCTTCAATAGGAGAAGCTAGAACTGAGAAACTGTTGAACCATCTATATCTTTCTCCTAATTCCTCCTATTCTGCCCTTGACTTTGAGAGCTGGGGTTTTTTGGGCTCCCCTGTACCCTTTTGCACCCTCACCGTCGAGCAGTGTGGAAAGCAGTGTGCAGTGTGGTTTAGAGGTAATTTACAAAAATCACACTGAAATCTGTGTCTGATTGAAAGCAGAGCCAGGATCACAATGCTGCAAATTCCAGCTCTCAAGAGGACAAACCTTTTTTTCCTTCTGGTTTAGGCTGAATTGTAAGGGCACAGTCTCTTCTGCCACTCTGAGCCCAGAGCCTCTTAGTATGGCAGATGCTGCAAAGGAACTTAAAACTTTCTCATCCTTGATAGGCCATGAATGTGAGATTTATTGTCAATAAGGAGGTCAGATTTAGCATGTAATTCAAATTTATACCGGCTAGAGTGCTTTATTTTGGGTTAGAGTACCTTATTTGGCTGTATATTGCGCTAAAAGCCACTTCAGGCTTTAAATAGAACAACATATTGTACCTAAACCAGCTTATTAAAATAAATAAAGCAGTTTATAGCAATCCATATTGTGCTTCCTCTGACACTTTGCCAAAACAATTTGTTCATTTACTGGGACATTTAAAATCCCTTAAACCAGCAGTTCCTTGAGCTAAGATGGTTGTACATCTCTCGGTAAATCATCCTAAATTCCAGATATGTTTAAGTAACTCCTGCATCTGTTTTTTGCATCCTGGTTGAGGAAACTCCCAGCCCATTGTGTGGGGCTGGCTGAGCCCTGTACCAGCTGTTGGAGGCTAACAGCCTTTAGACTGGTAGGGGTCTGATTCACAATTGAACTGGAAACCTATTACTGACCTGGAGATCTCATTACCAGCCTTCTGAGCCTTTCAGAGCCCATCACTTGACTCTTTTGATTGGCAATGCACTAATGAGCTAATCATGCTGAGGTTTTCTTTCCTCCCTTACTGAATTTGTATAGTAAAACTATTGTTCTCTTCCCATCTGGTGTCTGAGTTGGAAATTGGTAACTGATACACTAAAGGTCAAAGCTGGAGCCAAGCATATAATACTAAAAGGATTAAATTGTATTAGTTAATTGTAATTTAACTTTTTGTTCATCTATTTTCAGTGAAACAGGTTTGATTGACTGGATTTTTATGTGATGTAAATTTGCTTCAAATCAGATTTTGGACTCTTGATGTAGAATAGGTATCTGTGATAGTTTATGAAAAGAAACTCCTTTTTTACATAGCAGTTTAGTTCAGTTCTTACTAAAACATAAAACCAGCACTGTAGCAATGTGAAGTTAATTATTTTTTAAATTCTGAGGCAAAAAGTTAAAACAAAATACCTGAAACAAAAACCAAAAAACCTTAAACAAAACAAACCCTAAACTAAACAATAAACTAATGTTATACAGTGCATAATATTTAAAGGGCATTTCAAAAGTTTTATTCCTTAAGTAGGAAAACTTTCTTCTAAGAATAGACTTACTGATTTCTTTAGGTTTTTAGACTTAATTCTTACTCAACTTCTCATGTTGCAGCACAAGACTGAAGCCATTTCTTTGCTACAATAAAAAACATAGGTGTAGTTTCCTTCTCCACGTGCCAAAGTCTGAGTTTTTTAGAGAATCTAAAGACACTCAGCAATTTTTACTTTTTAAAAAATCTGTAATTTAATTTGGTTCATGGCTGACTTGGTGATATTCATATAAAAATTTGTTTTATACAGAAAAAATTATAAAATATCATTTGAACCTTTATAGATAAATCGGATAAAAATATTCTAAAATCTACCAAATAATTTTTTTTCTAGTGCACTAACACTTGAGGATGAGAAAAGAATGTTAGCAGCTCTGATAAATGGATTCATAAAAATGGTGAGTGACAATTGTGTGCATGTGTTGGGTGCACTTTAGAGCTCAGATTTTTGTGAGATGCCCGTGGGGAACAGGTGCCTGTGGCTGAATCAGAGCCCAGTCTCTGACTTGCTTCAGACCACTGAAAACCACAGGCAGTGCATTTCAGTGAAATAAGTGTGTCTGTGTTCAAAGAAATGTCACACAGTGCTGAAGCTGATTCGGTGCAAGATGAAGTTTTAAGTACACATGTTGTTTATTTAGTGGTGTTTTCTGCTAGTTTTGTAAATCTCCTGTAAAACAGAGAGGATGTGTTTAAAAGTTAAACAGCAACTGAAGCATCAGAGAGGTCACTGGTTTATGTGGAGGAAGTTCCACTACTTAGCTCTAAATGGAACCAATACCAGCTTTCAAAAATACAAAATAAGTGTAACTTTTTTGTTATTCTATCTCTGTTTATCTTAATTTATAAATAAGATAATTTCTGTCATTAAATTAGTATTCCCTGGAGAACCCCAGATGTTTTGTCTTGAAATTAGTCTTTAACCCATCCCTCACTCTTACTCCAATAAATCTTTTGTTGGTCTCTGTTGGTTTTGAGATGTTAGGGAGACTTTCTCAAGCTTTTTGTATTCTCTAACCATGTACTCTCAATGCCTGTTTTTCCTTTCACATAGAGCTGACAGGCTCTGTGTCTATTTGTCCTCTTTGTTCTGTGTTGCAGTTCTATGGATTTACTCTACATGGTTGTTTTTTCTTCAACTATAATAATTTGCTAATTAATGTTCTGATACAGTCTTGCTTTATTAAGCTTTACATGCAGTATAATATAGTGTAATTTCCTTTAGCAGGATTTCTTGCATTGAACAAAATTTCATGTGTCTTGATAGTCCTGGTTCGGGGGGAAAAAAATCCCATAGCAGCAAAATGACTTTTTGTGCATTTAAACCAGCACACATTAAGATGTGGAGAGAAAAGCAATTGTTACAGTCATCCTTGCAGTCAGTCTTTTTTGTGGAAAAATTTATATTTTTGAGTATTTTTCCTTGAGACTAGGGCTCAAGAATCAGCAGTTGTACAAATAGAGGAAAAGCAAAGACAGTTGTCTGTAATGTGAAAAGCAATCCTTTGTTTTCTGGTGCAGTTTCTTTGATCTTTCACTGTATGGATTAAATGTAAATTTTATTCTAATTTTGTAAAAAATTCTTTGGCATGGGACTTGAGAAATGATAAATAATGCAACCTTTACTTCCATTACAAAAAAAAATTGCAATAGAATACATGAACTGCCTGGAGACTGTTCCTCATGCTCTGCTTTTAATTGACAGCTGAGACGCTCCAGCTGACAGCACTTGGGTTTTTTTAAATCTACAGGGTTGGAAGAGGGTTGTTCTCACACAAAGGTTGTTTTTTGACTTCTTCCCTGCCAGAATGCAAGGTTACAGGCTTTTGCCATACTATATAAACAGGTATTAATTAACTAAACTTGAGGGAAACCTGCTTTTCATACTGGTTTATCTAATGAGGAAAAATGCTATTTTCTGTTGCAGGCCCTTTATCAACTAGAAATTAGAGGAATCTGAATACAGATTCACAGATCTATTTCTATTATTCTGGGTTTTTTTGTCTTGTTTTCTAAGTATGATCAAAACCAAGCCTTTATCTCTTCCATAAAGAATCAAGAGTTGTGCTAGTTTTGAAAACACTTCATAAACAGGATTTTTTTTTTAAATACTTAATCTGTAATACTTAATCATGTGGAGTATAGACAAAAAAATCCCCCAAAATACCAAAACACTAAAACTTTCAAATTTCCCTGAAACTGAAGTATTTCAGACAGTTAAAAGAACAGAGATTCTCTGACTGCTATTTGTTGCTACTGGGTTTTCTCCTTGGCAATATATGGGGATTTTGACTTTTGAATATCTGTGGTTTATCTGCATGCAGTTTTACATATATTTAAGGCATACAGTGGTGAAGTCTAGGGGCCTTTCTTCTCTTCCAGGTTTCATTTGGCCGTGACTTTGAGCAACAGCTGAGTTTCTATGTTGAAGCCAGGTCAATGTTTTGCAATCTGGAGCCTGTTCTAGTCCAGCTGATTCATGTAAGCCACAGTTTGTCTACATTTCCTTAACAAATGGGGATATATTTCCATTTCTCCCATTCTCTGCTCACATTATTGGTCTGTTGCACAATAAGCCTGAAGTATTTTAATCTGGTGTTTATAAAGTGGACTTTGATCTCATCTCTGGTTTTATTCCCCGAAACACTCTGAAGTTTTTACTTGACAGGCATGCATTGTATCATTGCAACAAAGAAAATGGGTTACCTTGCAAGAGATTTCATATATAATAAAATAAATGGCACTTTTGTGCATTCAGAATTTGGGTTGCCTCTTCTGTAATCCTCCATCTAGGAAAGATTAGACTGTGTCTGGCTGCAGATCCAGGCAGAGTCCTGATGTGTTTGGGAAGGTTAATCTCTTCTCTGTATTGAGCCACAGGTGTGCATTAACTGCATCTGATTCCTTTGCAACACTGCATCTTCCCTTAAATCCTTCTGTTATTTTGGTTTATGGTTTTTTAATCTGTGTTAGCTAGAAATCGTGGTTGTTATGCTAGCAAGGAGGTGACAAAGCTATAGCTGGGAAGGAAATGATAAGCTAAAGGCTTGAATAAAACAAGTCTACTTTCACAAATTGAGTCATATTTGCTTTAAGGAACAGTCACTAAAATTCTCCCAGTAAAAAGTAAGTAGTACAGTGGGGACACATTGTATCAGGGCTCCTTGGACACTGGCTATTCTCTAAGTGCATGCAGTAAAACATGCAGGGTGTTATTTTCCACTGAGGCTGTGCATTTTTCTAATGGTTTGCTTTTGTTTTGTGTGTGTAGTCTGTGAACCAACTAGCAATGGAAACCAGAAGGGTGATGAAAGGAAATCATTCCAGAAAGACTGCTGCATTTGTCAGGGTAGGTCTGGCTAATAAACTCTGAGCCTGCTTTTTTTGCAGATAATACTGTCTGCTGCCACCTAAGTTTATAGTTTTTGTAAAACCAGTATGTTAGTATTTTTAACACTGTTTGTAGTCCCATTTTCTCTCGCTAAGAGCAGTCTTTCCTGTCTAAAGCCAAATGTTGCTGTTTAAGGAGAAAAAAACCCAAACCATCTAATAGCAATTTTGTGTTGAAAAAGAGCAGCAAGATTGACTCCCTCTCCAAAGGAAGGTTCACCAGAGAGGTGTTTGTGTGAATTCTGGAAAGCTCAGCTTTTCAAATTATATTTGAAATAAAATACCAAATTTCTAGGTAACTCGGTCACAGAGAGAATGGGAGATGGGGTATAAAATATATTCAAACTTCTGTCTCATAATATCAGTGCTGATATGCTGAAATCAGGATTTGAATTTCAAATAAGGTGCTCCTTTCAGCTTTAGTGCCTCTGAATCTGTATAGAGATGGTCAAATGTGCTTTGAACTGTGCACAGGCCATCACAGGATATCCAGATTGCTTGTGTTCCCTTTTTCTAAGCTGAAATGTGGCAGCCAAGGTGTGTCCGTGTGCCAGTGGGCAGCTGTTTGTGTGTGCAGGGCACTCCCGCTCCTGGCACCTGTGTGTGTCCTGGGCAGGGGCTGGCACTGGGCAGCCTCTCCCTGCCTGGGGCTCCTTGCTCTGGCCAGGCCTTGGGCTGTGCCCACAGGTCTGCAGCTGCAGCACCTGGGCTGCATCTGCTTCCTCCCTGGAACTCAGGGCACCTCCTCTGGCCACTCTGCCAGATGGCTTCCCCCTGAGCACACTAATCTCCTCTTCTAGTTAGCTTTTGGTCTTGAGCTGCAAGGTGGTTAACTGAGGAGAGAGGAACTCCTTGAGCTACAGTAATAGAGAGTCAGTTTTGAGCTTATCTAGCAATAGTAACCATTAAAAAAATTATAATTATTGAAATTCTCATTAGAAATTCAAAATTGCTGATTTTGGGCTTCACTTAATATTTGCTTTGTATTGAAAATCTTCTCCAAAACTGATTTACAGATTTTGATTCCTAATTGTGTATTAAATCAGTAAAGATTGTTATAACTCTGAGATAGGAATTTTATTCAATTTTTTAAAATTTACTTTAGGCTTGTGTTGCCTTCTGCTTCATTACAATTCCATCTCTGAGCAGTATCTTCACACGTCTTAATCTGTATCTACACTCTGGACAGGTTGCTCTGGCAAATCAGTGCCTTTCACAAGGTAAGGCATGAATTTGTCTACTTAAAGGTTCTCTTATTTCAGAAATCTAACTGAATAATAAATTGGTTGATATCCTAAGTCATATGAATATTTATGATGCAATTAAAATACAGCTCTGTTTCAAACTGTTAAAGGAAAACCTTGTCATGTTAAAGCAGCTCCTCAATGTGATCTCAGTAGCCAGGAGAGCTGACTGCAGTTGACACAGTCCTGGCCATGAGGTAGGTTGTCCTAAATGAGTTAGGAATTATGGAAAGCATGGTAAGCTTTTTTCCTGCATAGTTATGCAAGCACTCTAATCACAAATAGTGTGCTTTATTATAACTGAAAAAAGATATAAAGCTATCTGTGTAGGGGTTCACAGCCTGACAAAATTCACCAATGAGCTGGAAAAGAATTTCAGGTTAGGTCAGTGACAGGAGAAACTTGCTTTGTAGGTACCTGCATGATAAATGCTTAGCCAGGAAAATGTGTCACTATATCAGAGTGAAACAATGGTGTAATATCAGATCATATGAAGACTGAAAAATATATTTTCTTTTTTGGATCTGAATTATTGATTGAAATGTGCCAGAGCACATTTTCAGCCATGCAGTTAGTTCAGTGTTAAGTAATAGCAGATTCTGACAAAAAGTGATTTGGGGAGAAGAATGGGAGCTGTTCTGGTGTCAGAGTGAGCATTAGGTCTGTATCACCATTTAATATGATCTTGTTCATGTTACAAATGGAAGTCAGATATCTATTCCAATCTTCATATACTTTTAACTACTTGCAGTATTCTTCTTTTCCTTTTTGAAATGATGTCATTCTACTTTGTTTTGCAATTTTAATCCTGACTTTAAATGTCTGCTCTCCAATAGTAAATGCTTTTTCTTTCTTTACATGTTCATGTTTCTATTGGAGCTGTGAGAGTGGTAAATTGGGTTACTTTGCAACATCTTTTGTTGTGGCTATTAATTCTTTGTGTTAGCTCTGTGCTTCTTCACGAGAGCTTGTTTTCCAACTCTGCGTTTACCAGCAAGTTCCAGCTGCACAAACAAGCTGACTTAGGATGCTGATTAAGACTTTTTATTGCAGGGTGACTATTGCATTTCTTTGTTTTGAATCTGATGCTGACAGATACAGCAAAGCAGAGGGATTTAGAGTAAAGCTGACTGTTGTGTCCAAGTTTGTTGTGCAAATAAAAGATCTGCAAAGTCTGTTGTTGTGCAAATAGCATTGTGCAGTTTCTTTCAGAGTTTACATAAAATGGGCTCACATTTTCTCTCTATGGTCTTTTATTTAATTGATCAGCTTACCTTATCCTGTATGCTAATTTTTGTTATTGTTGTTGTGTTGCAGAGCTTCTCTTATTGGAAGCAAATCCAAAGCAGTTTTTCTGTAATATTTGGTCTTCGAGAATTATTCTCTGGCCATGTTGGGACCCACTCTGTGATTTAATATCTTTCAACTTATAAACTGCTTTTCAACTACTTTTGTGATCCAGTTCTTCTCTGGGTGAGACTCCTGGGCCCCAAAAATTGCCCAGATTTTTCGGTGTTAGGGTTTACACATCTGCACAGCTGTTGTTTGACACATGAATACAGTGTACTCACAAAGCAATTTATAGGATCCCCATCCTGAAATCTTTTAAGGTTGCAGATATATACAAAGTATTATGAAGTCAGTCTCTAAAGTGTGGTTCATTCACCACATTCTCCTGAATTTTGGACCCACAAGTTAGAGAGAGGACCATTTGGTCCATCTCTGCTTTTGTTAAAATGAAGCCAGAGCAAAACTGATGTTCAGTAACTCACTGCATTTACCGAGGTTTTATAGTTACTCACTTTTTTGCACCCCTAGCAAAGCTATTTTGGGTATAAGTTGTACTCAGAGACATGTCACTTGCATGAGTAATTTAGCATGTTAAACAGGCACTGTCTTGGGACTTTTTTTGTGAACTGTCTTTCCATGTGTTGATGCACCGAAGTCACATAATGTGTCCTTGAAAGTTACTTTTCACACAGTTTAATCTGTATCTCAACTGAATGAGAAAGAAGTAAGAAGTACTGATTAATTCATAACAGCAAATTTCACTCCAGTCAGTTAACTGGTGCCAATTAGACACTGATCTGCTAAAACCAATGCAGCATGAAGTGAAGATTTAAGCATGTGCCATTAATGGTAGCACTAGGCCAGGAAGGGAAACTGTGCCTTGTCTGTAACCTTTATTTCATGCTGATTTGAATTAGCTTAATTAGTTTAAAATTGTGAAGAGAAATAAAGCTGAAAGGTAATGTACCTGATCTGATAGCTCAGTCAGCAGTGGTGCACGTGTCTTCCTCTTTAAAGATTCCAGCTGGTGTTTGTAGCAAGGTAAAGTCTTGGCTTTTTCTCAATTTTAAGTTTCTGTGGGGAGTCCAGCTGTTTCAGTGAGTTGACTTTTCACTTGAACACATAACAAAATTGAGTACCACAACTTCTGTTGGCAATAGGAAGATTTCTCTAAATTGCCAATGTATCTATCTTGAAAAAAGAAGGATGTGCAGGTCATAACAATAAATGGATTTATGAGTCTGAGGATTGCATTCTAAACTATCAGCAATTGGAGAACCACAGCTAATCTGCTTAGAAAAGTTTGGAGTTTGCCTCATTCCTCATTTCAAGGGGCAGCAGTAGTAACCATCAGTCCTTGTGCCTCACTGCTCCCATTTCCTCTGTCCCAGCCTTGCTTGCTTGGATTTGCCACACTTTAAATCAAATAGAAGTGTTTGAACTCATCCAAATACTTCAGTATTAGAAAATTGTACTTTTTTCATAGAATAGATTTTCTTTAAGACAATGACGTTGGTCAGAACTGTGAATTTATACGCTCATGAAACTCCAGCATTAATACACTGATGGATGCCTGTCTGGGAATGTTCAGAATGTATTAAAAATGACTGTTGCCTCTTTCTTGGCCAGATCCCAAAACTTGCTTTAAATGAAATGAATCTGTAATTATGTTTAAAATGTTTTAGGTGAATTTGCCCTGGATGCATAGTTTGTGCCTCTGGAGAGCCTATTAAAGGCCCACCTTTGAAATGAGGATGCTAGATTTTACAGAGATGAGCTTTTCATTTTTCTTAACTGAGCCACTGAGCACTGCATGCTGCCAACAGAGAATAATAAATTCTCATTGGTCATGCTTTCTGTCGTGGGGGTGCTTGGACTAAATTGAGATTAAATGCATGCTCCATTGTGTCACTCTTTTGGGCTTCTGAGATACAGGTATCATTTTCATTGCACACATTTCCTCCCTGTGGAAATGCTGCTTTTGTCTGTCAAAAAAAAAGAGACAGCATGAGTTTTTAATGTTTGGTCACAGCATTTAGCAGGTGGTAGAGATGACATAACTTTCTGGTAATGTGTGTGAAGCAGCATTTTTGTTTTAAAGGCTGTGAAATCTTTGCCTCACTTGAAAAATAACATGCTGAGTGAATAAGGCAGTGGGATGGGGTGTGTGTTGCATTTACTGATTTCACCTTAAGAATAGAATTTCTTGTGTCCAGTGTCCTTGCTGATACTGTCTGATGGCCCTATATGAATCTTCCACTTATGTCTCTGTAGGCCTTTGTCTCCAAGTACTAAAGCCTTGTAACAGTCTTTAATCAAGCTATGCCTAAAACTGGCTCTGCCAAGCTTCATCCACATAACTACCTTTTTATCTGCAGCTAATTCATAGTATGAATTAACATAGTACATTCCAGCTCACCAAGCAGCAGCGCATTCATTTTCTAATTTCAAGTTTTTTCCTTCAACGAATTCTTGGTTGTTTCTGGATTGGAAGTGATGTGTAGAGATCTTTAAGATGGAGAACAATTAGCAGGAGTTTGAGGGAAAACCACATTTCAAGAATGTGGCAAAACTCTCACAATGCTCCTGACCTCATCAATGTGAGAAGAAGAAGAAGAGGATTCAACTGTTTACAGTGTTTGGTTGTCAAAACAATAATGGATTAATTTATTTAACAGAAAAAACAGAGTAACAAAACCCCCACGCTTGCTTCTCAATAATTTTTTGCACTGCAGTATAAGCTTCATTAAATTTCCAACATCTGTTGGATGTGGAAGTAAAATCTTCAGAGTATTAAATTAGGTTTGACAGTGTAAGACAGGGAAGTGGTGTGGAATGCAGAAGATATGCATGGTCCTTGGTTTTGTCCTTTGGGTGGACTTAGCATGGTGTAATTGTAGCTGTGACTAAAAATACTTTGGGTAGTTATGTTAAACTCGCTCCCTTTTGCTCTTTGAAGGTGGCCTTAAGGAGTTTAATTGTTTTCCCATGTGAAAACAATTCCTCCTTATTTTTGCCTGCCTGAAATCTTGAATTTGTGCACTTTAATTAGCTATCAGAGATACAGAAAATACAATGCAAGCTGAATTTTTATATCTAGAGAGAATGATTTGTAGAAATATATGGAGGTACATATAGTTGTGTGTAGGTACAATTAAACATGTACATATGTCATAGTGAATATTGTCAATAGCAGAACATTCAGCACCAATTGCACTTGTTTTTTCTTCTGTAGGAGGCTAATTCTGGAAGTGCTGACTTGGCTATCCAAGACTGTTAGTTTTTGTAGCCTGAAGGTCAGCATGTATGCTTGGGGAAAGATTTATAGGATTATGGTCAACCAGAATGAAGGAGCTGCTGTGAAAGGATGAATGTAGTGAAGCATGAAGTATGTTACATTCAGAGCACTGCACAAGATATTAACAGCAGTTGGGGAAGGCTCCATCATGGTGATTTGCTGTAATGCACAGCCTGCTCTCCCCTTATCCAGTTTAACAGTGGTTCACTTAAGAAGCAGTGTTGTACTTTAGGCAGATAAGAAAACAGCATCCTTCATCAGAAGAAGCCTTTTTTATCTTATTTTTAGTTTTTTAATCAAGAATCAAGATTGTTGTGGTTTTTAGTGCTTTTTAAGTAGTTCCTTATATCTTTTGGAAGCCACGAAAAGTGATGTATGGTTTTGTTTTAAAACATCTCTACAGTAATAGTTTTTAAAAAATACTTTTAAAGATACAGAGAAACCATCATTGCATAACCTCATAATTAATGTAATTCAGAATTAAACACTGATGCTAATTTCATACTTGAAAAAGCAGCATGTCTGTGACAACCTTTTTAGTGAGGCTTTTCTCCAAACTCAGAGCATGTAATGCATACTCTAACTCCTCTCTGCCAGGATGCTAATGTTTAGAGGACGGGTCATTTTCTACAATCTGTAATAAAAAAATAAAAACCTTTGCATTGATAGGCTTTTTTTTTTTTTTTTTCCTTCTTATGAAGCACATATATCTTGGATAAATGTGCTTTTAGTGTCCCAGCGTAAAACCATTCCATGGTTAGCACAGATTGGCAGGACTTACTACAAAATGAACATATTCTCCTTTGCCAGTTCTGGATGTAGCAAAGTGAAATACAACTGTTTTGTGCTGTATTGCTTTTTTGGCTTGCCTTGCTGCATGGAGTGGGGAAAGCAGAGGGGAAAAAGGCAAGGAGCAAGAATTAGAAGTGTGGGGCAGGAGCCTCAGTGTGCGTTGTGTGGGCAGGGACAGCGTGTGGGGCTTGCAGGGTGACCCTGTGGCCACGGGAGCAGCAGCTGTGGCTGCAGGGACAGGAGGGCACGGGTGGAAGCCCAGGGAGCTGCTGGCAGCACAGACAGGTCCAGGGCAGCTGGGCACCGCTCTCAGCAGCCGGGGAACCTGGCAGCTCCTGGCTCTGGAGCTGCTCAGCCAGAGCAGCTCTCATTCACAGACACGGCGGGAGGCAAGGACAGTAAATTGAATCAAATGTCAGGTTTTCAAATAGAAAAGAAGAGGTTTTGGGTTTGCACTATGGCAGAAGTTTAGAGGATAATGTGAAGGATTGTGATTGCTGGGAGAGCAGGCAAATTAGGGTGAGGTATTTTGCAGCTCTTTTTCACTGTGGATGCTGATTGCTGCACAGGTCATTCTCGTCCTGTTATGAAATAACTTAGAAGGCAGGAGCATTCCCTGCACAGACATGGGTACTTTGGTATGCAGACTATTCTCTAAGGCACATTTTTTCATTTGTCTGGTCACATGTTTTTATTGTATGGTGATGTGGGACATGCACTTTTATTTTTTTTCTGCTGAGACAACTGTGGAAGTGACAGCAATTCATTTACTTGTGCTAGAATGAACATCTGCTGCTGCCTTCCTTCCTTAAATAAAGCAGAGAAAGATTCCTTACCTTCCTTTGGGTTGGCTGTCTAAACTTATAAGTTGTTTGAAATAAACATTCTTTCACCTCAAAACAAATGTGCAGAATAAAAGGAAAGACAGTGTTTGATAGAAGGGGTCTGTGTTCTAAGCACTAAAAAGTCCTTGAGCACTTGTGCTGAAAAAACAAGAGTGAGAAGAACTACAGTTTTTCCAAAGCACATGTTTCTCTGGTATTCCTCATAAGCTTAAATTAGATATCAGTTGGTACTATATTTAGCAAATTTGCTTGGAGTCTCAAATGAATTTTTCCAGAGCAAGCTGTGCTCCTGGAAAGGCCCATGCCTGCCTGTCAGTGGTATCTCCATCCCAGCCATGTAACACCTCTTGGCTTTCACCAAGAATTCTCCTTTTGCTTTTGATAAAAGCTGATTACATGGCCTGGGTCTCTGTTCCTGTAAAATAAAGATACAATATTAATTCTGAAGGATGCTTTGAAGTATATGGCTCAACATCTTGAGTGGGATGTGGATACTTGGATATTCTGAAATGTTGCCAAGGAAGTGCAAAACAGTGTTGCTGTCATAAATTTTTTTGTGAACCCAGCATATATAGAAGGGCTTCTAGTGTAAGAGGGAACATACTGTTGCTTTTAATTTGTGAATATTAATAAATTTAGGAATAGATGTTCTAGTGTTTGGAATTTATGTTTTTGTAAGATTAGAGACATAATAAAGAGTTATGAAAAACCTCTCAATAGCTATTTTGCCAAGGCTGTAATGGTGGATGGTTTCTCTAATTCCCATACTGTGATTCTTGGAAAATACTCTTTTATCTAGGTAACCAGCAATTCCCCAGGTTCTGGTACTATATTAATATTTTACTTTTAGTGATTATTAATAATTAGAAATATGAAGTTGTTGGTACTTCCATAGAACTTAAATGCCTTTTGTGAATGAATTGGTGAACAAAATAGCATGAACCTTTTACCCTCACTTTGGATTCCCCATTCTCCTGGCATAAGAATTTTCTTTGATAAGTCAATTTTGAATCCTGTGCTAATTTCTTATTATATATGCAATACATATGAAATGATGGTGTCTCCATGTTAGGCAAAGGAGAAGAGTTATACTTTCAGAAGTTTTGAGTGATGTGGGAACTTCTTTTGGAGAAACAGCATCATTCAAATTAACAGATTTCTCAAGAATCAGACCGCTGCCAAGTCTTGGGTTTCTTTGCTGTTCAGCACATTCATTTTCTGTCATTTCTTTGAATTCTGAAACAAATTCAAAGCAACCATTGGGTTACAGGCATGGCTGCCATCACAGCTGGAGTGATATAACAGCAACTCTATCTTTATTTTGTAGCTGATGCTTTTTTCAAAGCTGCAGTGAGCCTTGTTCCTGAAGTGCCAAAAATGATAAGCGTAGATGGAAAGATGCGACCCTCTGATGCCTTCCTCCTGGAATTCCTGTGTAATTTCTTTTCCACATTATTAGTTGTTCCGGTAAGTTGAGTGTGTATGAGTAGCACACAGGTTAGTATAGACTATTTTGACTTTCCTGTTTAAACATTTAGAGTAGACTGGGCATCTGGAGTGGTAAATGCAGGGATTAGTTTTCTGTGAAAAGATGAACTGTTCTGCTCACTGACTGCAAAATCACTCACCCCAATGCAAAATGGGGAGGCAGAAGAACTGTGTGAAGGTGGAGGTACAGCATTGCCACTCTCAGCAACACCTCTCACTAGAAGTGGATTTGGGGTAGAGTGAAATCTCACCATTGTTTAATTGTGTAGACAGCATTTACTGGTTAATTAGCTAAGTATTCAAAAATCTGTAATACATGAGGGGGAAAATATAGAGCTCTAGTTCTTACTAGTTTCAGTTACTTGGTATAGGTTGCCTAATCATTGGAGTGAAAACAATAATTAGAAGATGTGTTTTGGCATAACCTTCCTCTTCTGATGAATATTTCACAAAGTACTACCATTCTACATCCTTCCAGTTTTTAACTGTCAAGTTTAGAGAGGGATGTAATTTTCTCTCCAATATTTTTAGTTATACCTAAAAGATGAGGGGGAACTGTAAATTACCTGTATATTCATTTATTCTTGGAGAGAGTGGGTTTTTCCTCCTCACTGAAACCTCCCTTATGGTTTTCTCCTTCCTTTTTCCTTTGCCTGTTTGGAGAAGCAGCACACGGTGTGGTGCTGTCCAAAGCCTTGCTGTCAGAGCTGTGCATTCCCCCTGCTGCAGTGGCAGGGGTCTCCCATGTTCAGAAAGGTGGAGGGGCTGTGCTGTGCTGTTGCAAGGGAAGGGGGAGCTGCCCCTGGGCTGTCATTGCTTCCGTGAGTGCAGCAGTCAGGCTCTGAGGGAAGGCTGTGGGGTGACTGGGATCATCAGCAGGTGATTGAAGAAGGGAGTGAGTGACACAGCCTCTCAGATTCAGTAAGGAAAAATAACTAGATGAGATGCCAGCATTCAGAAATTAGCTTCCCTAACTTTGTTCCCTATTTACAGAAGATCAAAAGGAAGTGTCCCCAGTGGTCTGGGATTTGTCCTGTGTGTCTTGGTGCCACTGCTCCAACTGCCAGCTGGAATTAGCCCGGTGCAGTATAAAGCTGCTTGTAAAAACTCCCAGCTTATGAAAAGCAGAGTCTTTCTTTTAATTTCATGTGAAAAGATTGTTTATTGTCTGTAACTGACTTCCCACTGTAGGAGTTCTTCTGAAACTCATAATTATATGAGTAATACACTACAGCTTACTGATACAATTTTAATAATGAAATCTACCAGTGTTTAATTTTAGAGGCTTAGCTGTTAAGAAGCTGAAAATTAATTTGTACTGCTCCCCCATGACTACAAAACAAAGCATTTCAAAGTTTGTCTGTGAAGGCTGCCTGGATCATGTTGTAATTATGGGTTAAATGGGCATTTTAGATGGAAACTGGAAAAAATTTTAAAGGATTTGCAGGAAACACACTTAAGAAAAGTAGCTGTCAGATTTAATTATATTGTAATTCTGCTTTTATAGAGCTCAAACTGTGACTGTACACCACTGAATGACTGCAAATAATCCTGGTTTTGTTCTGGGGTTGTGGTGTTGGTTTTGACCTATCTTTTTTCTTCTCTGTAGGACCATCCAGAACAAGGAGTGTTGTTTCTTGTGCGAGGATTACTGAATGTGATCCAGGATTATACCTGGGAGGATAACAGCGATGACAAAGTCAGGATTTATACTAATGTTTTACATCTGCTGTCTGCAATGACTCAAGAAGCATTTATCTACCATGTAGATAAAGGTAATACCTAAGGGGGACTCTGGCTCCTTGCATTCCACCAGGACATTTGTAGTATTGTCTAATCACCATAGCCAGTTAATGAAGACCAGTGGTAATGAGTCTCACAGAATGGATTATTTTCCTATCCAGTTCCAGGTATTGTAATTTAGAATAATTCCAGGAGTTGGCTTCTGAACAGCTGCAGTCTGTTCTTTAAAGTGAATCTGTGCAGAGTGGGTTACTTAGTTTGCTTCTGGTGGTGTTGGTGCAAATGCTTATAAATGTGAACTTTTCAAGTAAAGATTATGCATATGAAGGGTTTTATTTAAGTCTAAAAGCATCAACTTGATTTATACTTATCATTGGTGTTTCATCCACATTTATTAAGAACGCCAGTTTTCAGGATGTAAAGCCTAGTCTTCATTATTTAAATTATGTATTTGATGCTTTGAGTTCTGGAAATTGCAGTAACTTAAAAAAATATTCAGAATAGCTAGAAAATTCTAAAGATCTTACATTTCGAAAAACAGCTGTCATCTTTCTTGTAATAATTTTTGGAATATTTTGATATATGCTCTAAAATTTGAATATTTGCCTTCTGATTATAGATTACTAAATTAAGGTGGAGTAATAAATAAAAATCCTTTCAAGCACCCTGAAGATTAATGAGTCAGAGAGTCCAAGATGGTTTGACTTTTTCTTTCAGTTGCACAGACTTCACAGAGGGAAGGCTGGAATGTGTTCCGCAGTTCTGCCAGATTTACCACCCATGACAAAATACCACTTGCAGCTAGCAGCACAGAAAATAGCTGTCAGTGGAAGTGCTACTCTGTAGTAAATCTGCTGTTCAAATTCTGTAAGGAAGTGTGATTTAGCTTTTTCTTTCACTCCATTTTCTATATGACCGAAATAGCTGCATAATCCCAAGATGAGAAATCTAAATTAATTAGATTTTAATGGAGAGAAGCATGGAAATATAAATTAGTAATTTTCCCCCTGTAGTAGAGCAATGGGGTTTTTTTCTAGGTGGACCTTGTACCTTAGCGTCTTAAAATAAAGTTTACTTGGAAACAGGGGATTATCTTTCATCTTTTGTGCTTTCTGATTTACCTAGAATATATTTAAACCTAAACATTTCTTTTACTCTACTTCTTAATAGAACATAAATAAATTAGGGCAAAAGGCATGTTTAAAATCGCAATTATATAAGCTGTAAAAACTTGAAGAGCTCTCTCCCTCCTAAGAATCCTTTAAGGTCTTTGAAACTGAAAATATGCTTTTTGAATTTCTATCCATCAGTTTGAGGTAATCATGGGTTTATTTTAAGGAAAAAAAATATGCAGTTTGT